GTCTGAATGTGAGCATCAGTTTCCAGAGCCCCACACTTCATAGATTCCAAATTGACATAGTAAATTTATCAGATAAATTCATTTTGCTTACTAAAGCTTCATGGAGCAAAATGTGGAAAGGAAACTCACAGTTAACTCAGCAAAGTGAAGAAAGGAGGAAATGATTAGGAAGATGAACGATAACATGAGGTGTCAGACACAATTGCTGGTTGCATAATGAATAATTTTACAAGAGCAGTGCAGCTGTAAATAGAAAGCACGATGACATACATCTCTATTACTTCCTGTTCAAATATAATTAAAGACTGTCACTTGAGAGTAAGCAGAAAAGGGGTCTCTCCTTCATGATTAATTTTTTTCCAACTTTACTTAAAGCAAAACAGTTTCAAACCCCAAGAAGTCACTTAGCTGGCTGGATAATTAAGTGGATTAGGTATCTGACTGTAGAGCCAAAGTTTAGGAGCTCGATTGCTACCCTGCCTCCTAAGAGTAGAGCCAGCCTGTGTGGCCTTGGGGCCAGCTGCACAGTCCCAGGATGCATCCAGAAGAAGGGAATGATAAACCACTTCTGAGTACTCTCTGCCTGGAAAACCCTGAAAAGGGTCGCCATAAGTCAGAATTGACTTGAAAGCTCATGATGATGACAATTGAGTAACTTTCAGTGAAATTGTATAGTTGTTTACTGAGAAATAAGTCCCTCTTTGGATCACTTGGCTGCAAAGGTGTGCTCTTGATCATACCAGAAAAGGTCACTTTAATGGGAGCTGTCTCCCTTCTGTCTGCCGGGCAATTCCTCTACCCTGGCTTCCCAAAATAGTAGCCCTAGAGCTAGGCCATAAAGGTCGAGCTTGGGCTCAGATCAGGGTTGAGTTGGAGCACATTTCCCTGTGCTTTAAGCAATGGCTGGGTAATAGTTCACGCTGGACTGGTTCCATAAGCTGTCCAAATTGCAATCAATTTATCCGTATAATCACACCCTTTATTCAATGTGGCTTGTTTCCAGAAACACACAGAACAGAGTCATGCTATTGTTTGTATCAACAGTGACTTCCACTTTCAGGGCCCTGTTTCTTTTTCAAGAGATGCAATATGTTATACATATGATCAAGTGTTTGATTCCATTTCTGTCCCTTTTGTTCCATCTTTGCTGCTGACATTCAAGAGGGGAGGAGTTAGATGATGGTGATTTCATCCCTTTTATTCTCGCCGTCTTCCATGTGATGTATTCAGAGGTGATTTCCAAGTCCATCCTTGATGAGACCGCAAGCAGTAACCTGATCTGAAGGAACTTTTGCTTGCACAGAGAAACATCTTACTGATAAAAGCTTGATATTATCAATTAAAAGGGTTCAAGCTGTTTATATGTGTTAAGTTATGATATGCTCCAGCTTCAGAAAAACATATTAAAATGGGTGGAGCAGGGATTTTTGTGTTACCTGAGCAGATATGGGGCAAGCGGAGCACCCAGTTATGGTGTAGTCAGTTAAGATGCCTTGGGAAATCATTGGCATTGGCATTTGGGGAGTTACTTTGTGCCTGGTCATCATAAGTCATCAGCACAGCACCATACGTTCCCTCCCCGACATCCCTCACTGGTTTCCCCGCTCACCTGCTACTTGTTCCTTCCCCATTGCGTAATCTTCCAGTCTCAGCAGGAGTCCAGACTTCCTTTCTCTGCCTCCCACAGCAGCTTCTGACTCAAAGGTAATGCTGTAAGAATCCCTGCCCTGCCTCCTTGTCTATGACGGTGGTGGGACCAAGAGAAAGGCCTCTCATGATGATCTTAACAAGCTCACTGTTGTTTCCAGCACTCAGTCTGGGTTGTTGTTGTTGTTTAGTCATTAAGTCGTGTCCGACTCTTCGTGACCCCATGGACCAGAGCACGCCAGGCCCTCCTGTCTTCCACTGCCTCCCAGAGTTTGGTCAAATTCATGTTGGTTGCTTCAATGACACTGTCCATCCATCAGTCTGGGTTACACCAGCATAAAGTTATACTAACAGGATTTCTCCCAAAATCTTATTATGAAAACATGTATGTTTATAAATCTATATCAAATGACTGGAAATACAAAGTGTTCAACCAAAAAGAACTAAACAAATTTAACTACACTGGATTAAAAAGCCGACATGATCAGGATAATAACCCTTACTAGGATGAACCAAACATTTCCAAAAATAGTCAGGACTCTGCCTCTGCTCTAATGGCATGTTAACAAATAATAGTTCAAAGGGTGTGGGCCATTGTTTAATTTCAAAAATGTAGAAAACATCCTTGCAGAATGTCAGGCAAAAACAAAAGAACAATAAAAAATAACGAAGACAAACATATTGTGGCACCTTAAATACTAACTGCTATATTTGGACAAAGCTCACATTCAAATATAGACTAAAAATATAGGCTTCAGACTACAACTCCGGCCCCATATGGACAATCTCATAAAGGAGAGAATATATTTTCAGAATTAAAAATGTGGACATCTTCCATTCTTTGTGGAAGACATAAGACTGTATCTCCCATTATGAACCAGCTCGGGTGTTGATTTCATCAGGAGAGGCCTTTCTCTCAATCTTGCCACCTTCACAGGTGTGTCTAATGAGGGACACAGGAGAGTCTTCTCTGTAGCTGCTCTCAGTCTTTGGAACTCCCTCCCACAGGAGGCCAGACCGCCCGCATCTTTGTTGTCCTTCCGTAAGCAGGCAAAGAGCTTTCTCTCCAGGCAAGCTTTCCCTCAGTGACTGGCTGCCTGAGTTTTTAGATGGATTGTTATGCATTATTGCTTTGACAGGCTTTTAGTACTACTTGTATTTTCCATTTCTCAGAGTGGTATTTGCTTATTCCTTTTTAATATTTGTATACCTATTTTTTTCAGCTTTAATATTGTCTTTTAATGACGTAAACTGCCTCTTTATACTCATTGTTTTTAGCCTTAAATATTAGCTTTTAATTATGCAAACTACATGATGTCAGCTACCTCGGGTCCTTTTTAAAGAAGAAGGCAGGGTAAAATTATTTTAAATAAATAATAAGAGAGATATATCATGGCAAATATTTATCCATGACATCAAAATACAGAGATCGTGGTAGGTTGCTAAGAAAATCAATGTGGTATTTAATAGTGGGGTGATAACTTGTTTGAGATTCAGATCTATTCCATTGAAGCTTATACTGTAAAGAGTGTCATAAAATTACAATGGAAGAAATAGCATGAATGTTAATTGTACTAAGGAGACTAGCTTTTTACAGTCGTTAGTGACTTTTAAGACCCCTGTTCCTTTTTTAGGAGGTTTTGTAAGTAGCCAAAATGGTGGTTGAATTACCTCAAGATATAGATAATCACAAGAACAAATTGGTAATAAGCTAATACTCTCTGGTTACCTTTCAAGCTTTTTAAGGTGGATCTGTTAATGAAGAAAATATATCTGGGAGATACAGTACAATTCTTGTAGTTTTTATATTTGGTGGTGCCCTAAGAAGCCATGACTAGTATTGAGATTAAAGCAATTCAAGGCATGGGATCCACATCAGCTTTTGCATAGGGCTCCCGGAAACATCCTAATCAACCAAATTGAGTTTGAGGACTTTTCAACCAATCTACACAGTGCCTTTACACAGAAGAGAGGGGAAATCAAGCCAGAACATACTGCTAAGTGATGACATTTGGACAGTGCTAATGAAGACGCTATGAACACGCTATGTTTCATTCATTGCTAGGACAGCCAACTTTTTCTGACACATTTCCTGTGCCCTTTTTGACAGCTGCTGGTCAAGTGATACTAAGCTAAAAAGCAGATGAAGCCAAACAGAGATCAGAGGAAAATATTTCCCGGGTAATTTATTCAGCAAAACCTAAAGGCACAGGACCCCTGCTGAAAATACTTAGCAACTGTAATTATCCATGCTTGATAAACTCTTTTTATAGTCTTTGTATCTTTTTGATAAGTTACGGCTTCCAAATACAGTAGTCAAATCAATACAGATATCACAGCTGTATGAAAAAAAAAAGATTCATGCAGATTCATGTATTGAAGGTTATCTTTATGTTCTGAGGCTGAAAACCTGAACGTATATGACTCAGGATCCAAACTTCCTTCAAATCAATGTGCTTTACTTTTGGTTAAGCAAGGTTAGCTGTACTCTGTAAATTACTTCAAGATAATTTGTGTATTGTGGATGCATCAGTTTGGTTTTTTTTTTTTTTTTACAAATTTTAATGATCAAAGAATAAAAAAAAGAGGGAAAAGAATTTCCTGCTGAATTTCATATGGTTTGTTGTTGTTTAGTCGTTATGTCATGTCCGACTCTTGGTGACCACATGGACCAGAGCACGCCAGGCCCTCTGACGTAGCTTCAATGACACTGTCCAACCATCTTGTCCTCTGTCGTCCCCTTCTCCTCCTGCCTTCACACTTTCCCAGCATCAGCGTCTTTTCCAGGGAGTCTTCTCTTCTCATGAGATGGCAAAAGTATTGGAGCCTCAGTTTCAGGATCTGTCCTTCCAGTGAGCACTCAAGGTTGATTTCCTTCAGAATGGATAGGTTTGTTGTCTTTGAAGTCCAGGGGACTTTCAAGAGTCTCCTCCAGCACCACAATTCAAAAGCATCAGTTCTTCGGCAGTCAGCCATCTTTATGGTCCAGCTCTCACTTTCATACATCGCTACTGGAAAAACCATAGCTTTGACTATGCGGACCTTTGTCGGCAAAGTGATGTCTCTGCTTTTTAAGATGCTGTCTAGGTTTGTCATTGCTTTCCTCCCAAGAATCAGGTGTCTTTTGATTTCATGGCTGCTATCACCATCTGCAGTGATCATGGAGCCCAAGAAAGTAAAATCTGTCACTGCCTCCATATCGTCATATGGTACCTTAAAATAAATAATTCCTTTATATTTACCATCCTGTAACCATTCCAATTTACCCGAATTGCACTATTCCTTCCTTCTTTCCTTCCTTAACTGATTATTATGGAATGGCAACCACATCGTGCATTGAGCTGGATACTTACAGGTTATTGAGTCTGTATCTTATCAGAGTGGATCTAAGCCCAGGAAATGTTAGGTATGGCTCCATGGCTTGTTCTGTTATGTATGTTATCCTGACTTCATGAAACTAGTTCTCTAGGCATTATGAAAAACATAAACATACTGTAATAAGAAATCAATAGAAATCACATCAGATCATTGCAATCCAGCATAAACCACAATAAATACATTTCAACACAGCACATTGGTACAGAATGAAATACAAAGTTAAGATTAACCAACACAGCAGAATAAATTACAGTACGAGATATAGAGCTAAAAAACCCCATCAGGACTGTACATGACTATTAGGGCTTAAGTTATTTTTAAATGATTTAAATATTTAAAATGTCTGGAAGAAACTCTGGCCCTAGCAAGCCTAGCCAAGGATAAAGCATGGAAATAAAATATTGAGAGGACCCCAAACATTCCCCATTCCAGGATTAGAAGATGGAAGCCAATGAAACAAGGACACTCACATGGCCTGAGAAGGAATTTCCTGTATTCTACAACAGGAAAGGGCAGGCTGAAGAGTCTCTGGATAGGAGGGAGGTGGAGGCAAAGCAATGGCCAAGCTTTGTGGTGCCCAAAGAGATGTATGGTTTTCCTACCTGAAGCAACAGCTGAAGAGGGCAGGCTCCAGTCACTAAACCCATTTTCCAAGGGTTTCTGGACAGAAACCTCCAAGAGCTATCAGCCAACAGATGGGATGCAACAGTTCTCTCTTTCCTTCCTTAACAGATTTCTCTGGGCTGAGAAAAAAGATGGAAGATATGTCAGGACCACTCTAGGCGGCTTACAATAAAAAAGATGGAAGATATGTCAGAAAGAAGGGTTACAAATGCTGCCACTCCCACTCCATACACAAACTATTGAAATCCCATGAAGAAGGCAGGTTAAGTGCACACTAAAACCTTTATTAGGAAGTAGGTGGAGTTTTTCCTGAGATTACTTTGCTTTCTGACCTGTGATCAACCTGAAATGCATACCCACGCAGGGTCCTTGCACAGTTATTCCTCCACCCCACGCCATCCTCCCCCACATGTTAATCTCTGAGAACCAAATAAAACTCAGTACGGAATGGGTCAGAACGGGGACTTCTTAATAGAAACTGGTGCCAAAAATACAGTAGTGGGATGTGCTGGAAAAACATCCAAACAAACTCAAATTTTTCATTGACACTTTATTCCAAAAAAGCTGCCAGAATTGGGGGTGGGTGGGAAATGGGCCAGTAACAGGTTCTGATTAGGATAACCCAGCCAGATTCACAAAACACATGAGACTAGACAAGATGGATGCAGCAAGCAAGCCTTTGACTGATTTGTGAAACATGGAAGTAGTTAGACTGGTTGACTTCTGAGTAGACCCAGCAATGCTGTGGAAGGAGCTGGGCACATTGGTAATTGAGGTGGTCAAGCTGGGGAGGCATTTGCAAGCTGCAGGCAGGCGAACAGACCGCAATGCCTGACCATATGATGATGCCAATGAGCCAGGACTTCTGAGTAGGCTAGACCAAACATATTCATCCACCCCCTAGAGTGGTGGATGAATATGGATGAAATGGTGGATTCATCTAGCTAGAGGTGAATGATAGAGCCAGCCACAAAATATCCCTAATATCAATATTTCAGTACCCCTGGGCAGAAACATAATATGGCAAAAAACAGTCTGGGATGGAGACCTCCAGTTCAATCAAATTTACCCACCCCATCCAGCTAGAATGATGCAAGCAGTCCCAACCCTCCCCCAAGAGCAATATTCCAGTATGCATCCAAGAAGAAAATTAACATTGCAAAAAACAGTCTAGAACAGTACCTTCCAAGTAAGTCAGCCCAACTGAATTCACCTGCCCCATCCAGCTAGAACCAGCCACAAAACACCTCTGGGAACAGTAACTGTTCTGGGCAAAAAAAAAGAACACCTGATATTGTTGAAGAGAGAGAAAGAGAAAACAACAACAGTCTGGAACAGCAACCTTCCAGTAGGACACCATGAAAAGATTCATCCCTCTCACTAGACTAGAAAAGGTTTTTTTATTAAGTACAACAGTATGGCATTATCAAAGTCTTAGCAATTACAGAAATATCTGTTTGATTGATGGCGCTAGCAAATGTTTGCTTGTTTCTTTATTATAAGTGTTGACCTAAATCAATTGAATTTGTTCCCCCTATTAAAGCAAGAGTACAAATATTTGATAGTTTTACACTGGGAAAACAAACAGCCACAGTTGCTGTTTCTATGTGTAGATTGTGGTTTTTTATGGAAGTTGGGTGGTTTGATGTTTTGCTCCCATAAGTGGCTGATGAATTAGTTGTTGTCACCAACTCTGAAGCTGCTGTTCATGGACCATTTAAAAAACATGGAATTTGGGCCCAGAAGAGGTCCTGAGATGAGGTCCCTGGGGATGTTATGTAGCTTGATACATCCATCCCTTCTAGTCTGATGAGAGAGGTGAATCTTGTCGGCTGTCTAGAGATGGACATGAACCTCAGTTCAGAGGTTTGTGCCACACATTCCCTTCCCCCACCTCCCAGTCAGTGACACACTCACCAGCTAGAGAGTGCTCCTCTCTTCCTCTTTGGCTGGTTCAACATTCCCCGTCAGGAGCATGGGTTTGTCTGTCCTCAAGGAGGTGAGATAGGGAAGCCTGTGTACCTGCTGGAGAGCAGTTGACAGCTGAAGAGGAGAGGAGCATGTGCCAGCTAGTGAGTGGGGGATCCAGCTGGAGAGATGGGGGAAGGGCTATGCGTATGATCCATCACGAACCTACGAACCAAGGTTCATGCCCATCTCTAATGCAGTCCTTCTTGGAAGTTGCTGTTCCAGACTGTTTTGAACAATGTTGGGTTACAGAATCCTTGGATGGATTCTGGAATGTGGTTCCTGATAATGTTTTCTGGCTTGCTATATCATCACCCTGTCATCTGATGTGAAAGATGAATATCACTAGCTATTTTGTGCCATATCAATTTTCTTTCCCAAGAACAGGTACTGGAAAGCGATCCCTGAGTCTCTATTGTGGCCGGTTGCATGTATGCTCTCTCGTCTCATGGGACAAATGAATTTCATTGGAATTTCCTATTTTGAGGTTGTCCTGGGGGTGTTTTGTGGCTGGTTGCATTATCCCACTCTAGATGGTGGGGACAGATGAATTTGTGGCTTGCTGCATCTGTCTCATCGTGTCACACATGAATTTGGTTGGGGCATCGTACTGGAAAGTTGATGTTCCAGTACATTGTGTTCCATTATGGTGGTTCTGATGGCAATAAAGGGTTAATAAAAATGAATATTCATTGGGTTTGAGGTCTAAAATATTGCTTCAATGTTTGTGCAGCACATCTCATTATTTTGGGAATTTTTTTTATTAAGAAGTCCCTATTCCCCATTCTGGCCCATTCTGTTCCTGCCAGTCCCTCATCCCCATGTTTCTTTTCTACCCAAACATATTTATCATGAATGAGCAGCTCCCCCTGATTTTTAACCTAGTTAGCCTAATGTCCCCTCTACTATCCCTAGTACAGTAATTTGCATGTCACCGGGAGGCTTTGGCTTTATCAGAGCAATTCTAAATGGAAATAACCATGAATGATTTATGCAACCATTCCGGCAGAGACCCAGCTCAATTGACTTGCTACAATGCAACAATGCAACCACAAATTGCTCCTGACATGTAGTGGAGAAGGTAGCCGTGGCTCCCCACCCCCACCCCCAAAATTGTTGAAGCCCTTCCTGCCAACTTGCCCTGCACTCCCCTAATAAGCACTCTTAATGGTTCCATAAGCAGGTGCTTTGATGCTATTTGCCATTTTTGTGTGTGTAGGGAAGCATTCAGAGCAATTACTAACAGGCAATGTCACAAACTGCTGGTGGAGTTTGTAATTCTGGATATGTATCTATGTATGTATATGTGTATGTATACAAACAAACACATGCATATTTTAACGAGAGGCTGTGTAAGAGTTTAAATAAATCACAGAGCATTCAGGGAATGAAATGCAATCCCTCACTTAGCAGACTTCCTTTAGGGGTGTAAATCCTTTCTTGCTTCATTCTCCTGTGTGAAAATGGGAAACTGCAGAAATTTTCTCCTTGTTGGCAAGAGGGCAACATATTTTTTGTGCTCTCAGTACAAGCACTGTTTTGAAACACTGTGCAGATTGCATAGAACGGTAATAACTGTTGCCTTCCTGCAGGGGCTTTTTAAAAATGAAAGGCATCACTATCATGGGCAGCTTTTTGAGAATTCAGCTGGCCCTTACATGCTTCCTCTCTGTATGTGTATGTGCTGTATTTCACAAACAGAAGACAGAGAAGAGAGCTGCACAATTTTGGACAGAGACATTTTGTGCAAATTACACGTCTAGAAACACATTGTTTCCTGGCTGGTTTTGTCGTGGGGATACAGCAGTGGGTGCCAATCGTAGGTCCCCAGATGTTCTTGGACTGAAACTCCCAGAAGCCTTCACCACTAGCTGCGCTGGCCAGGATTTCTGGGAGTTGCAGTCCAAGAGCATTTGGGGACCCAAGGCTGAGAACTACGGCTATAGAGCAAGTGAGAATTACCTGGAACTCTCCAGAAGCTGCTGGACTGCAATTCCTCAGGCCTGCAGTTCTCACCTGCAGTGGTGAGGTTGAGGGAATTGCAGTCCTACAACATCTGGAAGGCTACACATCTATTCCAGAGCTCAAAGAAAGAGAAAGGGAAAAATCCGAGCAGAGGCATGTTACTTATGTCCTCCTTGTTGATTGAGCACATATGCAACCAGTTTAAACACTTCTTTTGAGAATGTATTTGTATTTCTAATTGAAACGAAAGGTTGCATTTCATTTGACCATTTTCTAAAGATCTAAAGAACCTTTCATTGCCAGCGGTGTAGACATTAATGGCTGTGTGTTGCGTCATTTTGAGGGGACAGCACATTTACACTGTTACACAAGCTGTATACTCACCGCTTTACATTGTAGCCAAATGCCATTTCTTCAGTGTTGTCACATGAAAAGATATACTCAAATATTTATGAAATGTGAGAGACCACTCACTTCTGTGATATACTCTATTGCAAACAGAAATAAGCACCACCTGGTTCAATATCACTTAATCCCCAGTAACGAGGCAGATGATTGCAATCAGTCTGACCCTAATAATCTGGATATTATGCCGTTTACTGATCAGGGAATGTCTGTGGTCCAAGCAAGGGTCAACATTACATTGCAGCCACCTTGCTCTGAACATGGACTACCAAGACTGCTGAAAGTAGAAGCTGTGAAGAGAAGGGGGACTCTTCTGATTTCATAACAGGCAGCCTGTTCTCAAACATCATATATACCACAAGGTTAAAACTAATCCAGTTTCCTCTTGATTCAGCTCCAAAACCAAGTCTCATCTAACAGTGGACAACTAACCCGCTAGTGTTTGCTGTCTGAAGCAGTTGCCTCCATTCACCTGGTGGTTGAGCTGGCCCTGAGCAGCCCAGAGGGGCAAAGGAAGGATAGGAAGAAAACATGCAAAAGTGCTTGCTCTCATTGGAACTGCCTGTTGAGAAATTGCTAACCTCAGTGAAAGTTCTCTATTCCAGAAGTCCCCAAACCTTACATCCCCAGATGTAATCTATGGTAATCTGTTGCAAACAACAGTAAAACTTGAAAGCATCATTCTTACCTTGCTCGCTTGGCAGCACAGGAAGGGGCCATCAAATGCCCATGTGCGCTGGCAGATGGCATAATCCAATAGATCTAAAGA